CACCCAGAGGACAACCACGAGCACACCGAGGGAGTGGCCATCATGATGTCACCAACTGCAGCCAAAGCTCTCATGCAGTGGGAACCAATCTCCTCCAGGATAATGACAGCCAGGTTCAACTCAAAAAGAAGGAAGGAAAGTTACAGTCATTCAATGCTATGCGCCCAAAAACGTCTCAGAACAAGAAAAGAAGGATATCCTGGACCGACGTGAAGAACCTAGAAGACCTGGATTTCGTTTGTGGATGATTTATGTTTGATGTCACACAAAATCGAAGACTTACAAGCGAAAACCGACAAACTGGTCGAAGAAGCAGCCGGAGAAGACAGGACTCCAGGTGAACATAGACAAGACGGAGGTGATGAAAATAACCAACCAACAACAACAACAGCAGCAACATCCGGCGTCAATCACCATCAACGGGAGGAATTTGAAAGAGGTTACTTCATTCACTTACTTATCTAGGGAGTAATGTCTCAACTACAGGCAGTCAGAACGCACGAGGATGTCAAATCGAGCGAGAATCGGGAAGGCGAGAAACACAATCACTCATCAACCTGAAACCAATCTGGAAACCAATCTTCGTCACTCAGCATCAACAACAAAATTCGGACGGATTTTCAATACAAACGTCAAGTCAGTCAGCTCTTCTATACGGATCAGAAAGTTGGCGGGTCACAAAGAATATTTCCAACAGCCTGTTGCAGACGTTACCTTTATCAACAACTGTCTTCGCTCTATACTGAGGATCAGATGGCCGGAAAGAATCACCAACAAGGAACTATGGGAACAAACAAAACAAGAACCAATCGCCCAACAAATATGCAGGAGAAAGTGGAGATGGATTGGACACTCGCTCGCTGAGGAGGCCGCTGGGTGACATCGCGCGCACGTCAGGCCATTGCTCGAGTCGAACCCGAAAGGGAAGCGGTGAGTGGGACGTCCAAGGATGACATGGAAGAGATCGTGTGAAGAGTTGAAATAGTATGGACTAACATGGATGCAGGTGAAAAGTACAGCAGAAGGAAGACAGAAGCAAGTGGAGACGTGCAGTTGAAGCCCTATGTTCCACTAGGAACCCAAGGGAACAATAAAAATAATATACCCATTTGTCTATATTCACACACTTTATCGTATGTTCTGTTCTGATTGCACTATGGGGATTTTTTTAATTTATATTCTAATTATTAGTTAGTCAGTTTTCTTGAAGCATAACTATATATATATTCAAACTTTGAAGAAAATAAAATAGTCCGACTCAGAGGGAACAACACAACTATTGCGCAATATAATACATCTAACCTGAGCTGCAACATCTTCGCCATATTTGAATTATTCATAGTTCTCAGAGAAGCGCAAGAGAGAAAGATAAATATCAGAAATAAAAGAAAATTTGACTTTCAGAAGTATATCCATGGTAAATTTCAATAGGAAATTGTAAAACAGAGATCATTAATGCACAACACAATGTACAATAATCATTAAAACCATATGTTACAGATTTTGATTACCGGTTGATATCAGTTAGAGAACCTTTGGAAACAAAACTAGTAGGGAGTACATTGCTAGATAGGTGTTTCTGTCGTTCCAGTGGTTGAAACTGGGATCTGAACACACAAGAGCTTCCTGTTACAAGCCAAGTCACTGCAATCCTATGCATAAGCATCAGCTAGCTCATGGTTAAACTTGTAGCCAATCAAATCCTTGCAAACCAACACTTGAAACCCAAGGGTGTCTGTCGTACATTAGGGAGGTTGACGATTAAATTCACCCTATGGTCCCAATATACACGTACATATCGGTAGTTGTTAATTTGGTGGTGGGATGATGAAATAACTGTATTTAATTTTCATTCTATACTTCGAATAGGCGTACACACGCACAAGTGCACACTTAAGTGGAGAATTTTCCCATAACATATATATATATATATATATATATATATATATATATATAACAAAAACAACAACAAATGCATTAGATGAGAGTTAAAATATATTTAAAGCCTATAAGACACCCTTATTTGTTTATGAGAAACACCCAAATTTCTGAATAGAAAGAAAAACAAACAATCCAATTGATTCACCATGGTCGCAATCTATCTCGTTTAATATATATATATATATATATATATATACAAAAATATCATTACAAAATCAGTAAATCAATAAATAACAATTCTAAGCACAAGTGGATTGATTCACTAACATATACCTACTTTATTATTATTATTGTTCCCTTTAATTCCTAGAGCAACATTGGGCTTCATACCCACGTCTCCATTGCGTTCCATTCTCTGACAACGTATTCACCTGCCTCCACGTCTGCCCACGTGCTTTCATCTCCTCTTCACATGACCTACTCCTCCTCCTCCTCTTCCATGTCACCCTCGCACCGACGACCAACTAACTCGCCGCTTCCCATTCGGGTTCTCCTCGAGAGAGAGAGAGAGAGTCTGGCATGTGGTGTCATTCACTTGATGGTTTTCTCAAAGAATGGCCAATCCAATCCACCTCCATTTCTTCCTGCATATTTGTTGCACAATCCGTTCCTGCTGGATTGGGTTGGGTTGGTTCGTTGGTTGATTGCCAGTGGTCCCTGCTGCTGATCTTTTCTGGTCCGCAATCTGACCTTGACCGAAGTGTTGAGTGAAGACAAGTGTTAATGAGGGAGTGTCTGTAGTTTGTTCTAAGTGCCCTTCGTGACGCGGCGCTCCAAGTCTCTGATCCGTGTAGTAGCACTGAATTCAAATCGCAGTTGAAAATCCGGATCTTATTCTTCATACTGAGGAGTGTTGTTGATCTCCACATAGACTTGAGAGTAATAAAGGCTTGTGCTTTCCCGATCCTCGCTTTGATGATGTCCTCATCAGTTCCCTCCACCTGTAGTTGGAACGATGCTTCCCAAGTTGGTAGGTAGGTAAAGGAGGTTGTTTCTTTCAGACTTCTCCCATATATGCTGACTATTGTCTGTTGTTGTTGTTGTCGCTGTTGCTGTTGGCGGGGAGGAACGTTCATCATCACCACATCTGTTTTCTCTATGTTCACCTGAAGTCCTATCTTCTCTGAATGCTTCTTCTGTCAACTTGTTGCTTTTCACTTGCATATCTTCCAGTTTGTGTTAAATCAGACACATATATCATCGGCGAAGTCCAGATATGCCTATATTAGTTGGCTACAAAGAAGTGACGACAAGGAACTCTGTCCAGCAACGAACCAATAATAAAAACCTATAGCCAAACAAACATATACAGTGAAGGAAGTACAGGTGGATTGAATATACACGCAAAGGAGACCAATGAGTGACATCAAGTGTCAAGTTCTAGGATAGACACTGAATGGATATCGACCAGTTGGGCGTGGATTCGAGGATGACATAGATGAGACATTATGTATGAGGAGGAAATACAGGGTTATGAACAGTTGTGAAGCCAGATAAAAAAAACAACTGCACACAACAGAATGAAGTGTAGATGTAGGTGTGCTACTGAAACGTATGTTCTAGTGCTAAACCAAGGGGATAATAATAATAATGGTTTGTTTTGTATCGCATAAACTATAACAGTTCGATTGGAGAGACGCCTAAAATTTGGCTATAAGAATATTATTGTCATTATTCCCTAGGGTCCCAAGTGAAACGAGAGACTTCAACAGCATATATCCGCTTTACCGTGTTCCCTGCAGTCCTCTTCAGCTGGCCCCACGATGTCTAATAAACTTTCACCTATCGCGTCCACAAGATCTCCTCCATGTCACGTTCGGAGCGTCAGCCAACCTGTCTGGTGCTCGTTGTCATTCGAGGGCCTCTTCCTGAGTATATGTCCAACCCAACTTCATTTCATTCGACAGATTTGTCACTCTAGCAATCGGTACCTGATCGGCTCGTTCCCAAAGTTTCTTCTTTCTGGTTCTTTCCACCAATCACATCTGGTCTTCTGTATGCAGCTAGCCAGTGAAGGGGGCGGCTGTTGATAAAAGTCTCTACCAGACTATTGGAAATACTTTCCGTGACATCCAAACCGAGTTTCTGAGTCAGATAGAAGCACTAACCGACTTCACATGAGGGTGGGTGCAGAAGATTTCCAGACTTATTTCACATTGACGAAGGTCTGTTTGTCTTGTCCTTTCGATCCTGTCTCTCATCTGTGCCAACTGCCTGAAGCTGAAAGGATGTTGTCTAGCTAGATAATGTTGAAGGAACTGACCTCCTTCGAATTTCTCCTATTGACAGATTAATATTGCCTAGTTACCTGGTTCGCTAGTTTGCCGGCCAGTCATAACTCCAGGGAAAAATAAGAAGGTTGGGCGTGTCACTAGCGATCATACCCCAGTAAATCAGTCCAAATCCAGCCTTTACAGAAATTCCCAACCATGAACAACGAAATCATTTAATACGTATGCATAATAAAGTAAGCCAGCAAGACAAATGGCACAGTTACGCGACAATATGGAGAAAACGCTATGAACACCATCAGGATGAAAATCTATGCACACAGAAAGTCCAGTCCTTCCTATCGCCTTCACTTTCTGAGCAGAGCACAGAACTTCAAACTTCAACTTTGAAGTTCTTGTAGCAGTGGTGTCCTTTTCCACAGGGTGGTGGTTCTAGCCTCATGACCAACCTTGTATCTTCATCGGAACTCCTACTAATGGGCCAAATGAGAATTAGGAGTCCGTCGGTTGTGAATCGAATTCCGACCATGTGAGGCGAGGCGTGGTTGGTGAGCACTCTTCAATACCCTTGAATAATCAGCGCACCACAAAATTTACTACTCGACAAATATCAGAAGTCGCTAGTATATATATATATATATATATATATATATATATATATATATATGTTAATCAATGTGTTACTAAGGTAAATTTCTTCAGAATCGAGATAACAAGAAGATGGAAGAGAGAAAATATCACAATGTATGTCATATGAAAACTACTACACAACACCCTCTATCACATCACAATGAATAAATGACGAAGTAAATAAAATGCAATACTTACATTCTCAATGAATTTACACGCGAGCTGTTTACATCCAGGTAGTGTAGCAATGAAACTAGCTACAACATTTGGATTCCACGAATGCGGTCCAGAGAGACCAGCAACTTTAGCTGCATGAATTGCTGCTCCTGCCTGAGGTAATAATCTACCCATTATTAAATCAACATCTCGCACGCTAGGCGAATTGAAACTATTTCCTGGAGTATTCATATAATTCGATGATGAAGCAGACGCTTCGAAAATGGGTAAGAAACACGTTGATCTGTTTGGATCAATATAGAAGGGAGAAGAGAGGAGAGGATTATGACATATTTGAGGTATAAATGATCTATTGTTGATGGCAGCATCAGGATACCATGCAGGATTTGATGTTTCCATCGTCATCATAGACTGTGAAGGAAGAAAATGTTTGCTATTGTTGTTGTTGTTTGATGGATTACCATTCATACCTGGTGAGGAGTTTATAACTCTCAGACGAGGAGAAGGATTCGAGTACAGGTCAACAGGAGTTATTTCCTGAGTTAACTTTGCATTCCCAGGAGAACAACCAACCGTTGAATCATTCATTACAGGAAATATAGAAGAAGAAGAAGACTGTCCAATAATCTCATAACCTGATGGTTTCATTCGATCTATTTCCATGTAATTCATACTGGAACTTACACATGCATTGGTTAAAATACTGTCTGATGGACTTGGCTCTGAACTGCATGTAGCCGACCTAAATACATCAGTGTTTTTAGAATTATTGTTATTATTAGTTTCTAAGTTATGCGTGAGTAGACTATTAACATTTTGACAGTCAACTATGGATTGGTGAGAATTCACTGTCATATTCATATTACTACAGAGAGGAGATAATGCAGGCGTAAGAGATACTGTTGACATAGGAATTGTTGACGAAGAACGTGTATAATACTGACTGGTCACATAAGAATATCGTCCAGTAGATCCCAGTGAAGTGAAATGATGCATATGACGTGAATGTTGTAAAGAAGGATGATGAACTTGTCCAGATGATGCATACTTTCTTGGTCGACCACGTTTACGTTTAATTGGTGGTACAGGGGAGACAAGACTTTTCATTATATATTCATCAGATTGATCTGTTGTCTGAGGTAAAAAATTCACAGGTGATGATGAAGATGATATGTTTTCTAGACTAGTATTCGTATCCATTTTGCTTAATTTTTGTGGTTGCATTGAATCAATTACCATTTCCACATCTGGCTTTGTAGTTATAGATGCAATAATATTAGTTGAAGGTTGTTCATTTGATAATACTGTAGGATTTGCTAACATTTCAACTGATTGATTTGAGTTTTTACACTTAGATGCAGAGTTATTGTTGACACTAAATATTGGGAAAAAGAACAATAAAAAGAGAAAGAGAAAAAGTAACATTTATGCGATACTTTACAATATTTAAATCAATTTAAAAAAAAAGTTAATTCATCTGTAGTTAGTAATACCCTGTAGAGAACAGCCGGCAGTTTCCTCGGATTGTTATCTTCTGACATTACAGAAAATTCTTGACGTGTTTACATACCAGGGTTGCATAACCCTTTGTTGTCGTCTCCGTGAAAAATCTATGTGTTATTATATTCCCTATATATGTACTGCTGAGAAAAAGTTTTCGACAGACAGCATTGACCGAGAAGTGATGATGGCAGCGAAGACAAATGAACTCCAGGTGAATATAGAGAAGGTATAGACAAAGGTGACAAAGCCAAACACCACCAGCACTAATCATCACCAACGGGAGAATGTGGTTGGAAGAGGTTACTTCCCGCCTTCACTTATCTGGTCTAGGCAACCTCATCGTTTCAATCACAGATATGCGGAACGGATGAAGATATCGAATGGCCAGCCAGTAGGCCTACCAGTCAGAAAGAATTAGCAACAAGAGACTCTGGCAATGAATGAATGAACCAACCGAGAGAGAGCCGATTGCTCAACAAATATGTAGGAGGAAATGGAGATGGATTGATGGGGCACATGGTGAGGAGGAAGGAGGCCGTTGAATGACATCGCGCTCAGTGCAGGCCATCCATCACTCAAGTGGAAGGTGAGTTGAAAGCAGCGAGTAGGTGGTGTATGCGAGGGTGACATGGAGGAGGAGATCGTGTGAGTTATGGGGAGAAGAGGATTACTGTCAGTCATGCGGTCAGCCAGCTAAAGAGGACACTACTACTACTATACTATACTTCGGCTGTCTCCTACGGGAGGATGAGCCGGCTTCATGAACGTCTCGAATCATCGCTGCCCAGGCGCGGCAATTTGTAAGAGAGTTCATGAAGTTTCATGGGAATTTGGTACGAGCGATGTCCCCAGCATCGCTCGGCCTTTTGTTTGAGAGTGCAGCTCTAGCCTTTACACAGCCAAGTGTGACCTACAAGGCAGTAGGAGTGGAGTAAAGAGTCCACTATCCATTGGCAGCCGGTGACCGGAGTTCGGTTCATACGCCTTTTTGAATGGGGCCAGACATCCAGGACATCCAACAAGCCCTTTGTCCATACGTCTGCCGGTGAGCTCCAGTGAGCTTCATACGCCAGTCGTTGGAGGTTTGGAATCAGGGTTTAGCCATCTCCCCTAGACCGTCATCCAATGGACAGTCAACCCGGTGGAGAGCGCCGGGCATCCGCTTTCGCCCTCTCACTTTGGTGAGAAACACCTCCACCACGTGAAGGCAGTGAGTAGAACTTCCTCAGAAGAGGCTATGTAAGACGCCCGGTCATATGGGAGCATTTCAAGAGGTGTGCGGAGGAGTGGCCAACCCGCAGCGCAAGGCACCCACCCCTGACCATCCTGAGGCTTTGGAGGCTAAAGAGGACAGGAGAAAACAGAACAAAGTGTATATGTGTTGTTCAACCTCCACTTTCCACTCGGAATTAAAGGGAATAATAATAATACAGCCTCTTTCTCAAAGTCACTGATGCGTCCCTATGTTTGGCGTCATCAAAGTCTAACTATGCTGATAGAACTTACTCAAAGAAGTCGTATAAATAATTGCAGATTATTAGATAAAAAAAAACATACACTTCTTTGGGAAAAAATATTGACTACTTTGCAAAATGAAGGGAATTCTGTGTAGTTGTGAAAGAAAGATAAAGGGTGGCGGGGAGAGAGAAAGAGACATTAGCTCAACAACAAAAAACAAGCAAACAAACAATATTTGGTTCATATTAAAAATAGATGAATACAAAAAAAAAACAGAATTGTGAATTATCTTCAGTGAGACATTGCGACTTGACTAAAAAACTCAAATAACTGACTAACGCTCAACTTTTCCGGTCTATAACACTGTTTGTTAAGTGAGAGAGAGCAAAAAAATGTGAGCGAAGAATATCCTTAGCGATAATTTCCTCTTCTGGCTCTATAACAGAATATTATGCTGGGATAATTGTCATTAACAATATTGGTGTTTTTCGAATACCATCCATCGATCTGTTAAGATCAGTGGAATTACAGACAGTTGAGGAGAGACGCTTAAGTTTTACTAATTAGCATAATAATGTGATAGTAAATAGAATATCAAATAAGATTAAAGACTTCTCTACAACAACAAAGTAGGGATCATTAAAACCTTCATTGATGGCCAGTGGGATAGTGAAAGTGTCTGAACCAACCAACTTCTTCTTTTGGATGTACACATTAGGCTTCTTAATGCAGATCCCAACAGCCAGTCTCAGCAATATTTGTAACAGATTAAGTCTTGATGTAAAGTCAAGCTTAGTCGTTATACGATAGACGACTTTGAAAGCTGCCTCGTTCGCATCAATCTTGTGTTCTGTATCCACACCATGAGACAGTATATAACCATGAATTGACTTTACTTCTCCCCTACTCAACCTCTGTGCAGGATGGTTCTAGGAAATACGACGGTGAACACGCCTAATTTTACGGTGTATGCAACCGACTTACTGGCTTACTCCACAGGAAGAGCAGTCAAATAATGATAGATACGCATAGAAGAGGCGAAATTAGGCAGTTTTTTTTTCAATTCCAGAATGTAAAATAGGGATGGTTTTGAAGACACAGCATACTTCAGCAACACTGAATGCTCTTTTTACCACTGCGTTCCTTATCATCATCATCACTGAGGAACTGAAATTGTAAGAATAAGACATTTCTTCCTCGGAACTGTTGGTTGATACTTTGGCCTGCCTGCCTACCTGCCTTGACTTTTCATTCAAACTCTGATTCTACACGAACTGTGACTGACTGACTGACTGACAGGTTCCAACAGAGAACTTTGCACAGATGTGCACCAGTTCAAGTTGTCACACTTCGTTCTCCATGTACCAAACAAACTAACAGAAGGCAGTAACAGAGAGATTCAAAACAGATAGAAGGAGATAATAGGCAGAAGTGTGAGTAAGGCAAAAACAGTAGTAATGTGGAAGAAAAACAGTGGAGTTTTATTTGGATAATATAAATCACAGAGAGTGAGTGCATCTGCGCCAGGCAACCATCACTGAGAACGATTTTCAGCTAGCCATACCACCAGACATTGTCTACAGACATTGGTTCGTAGAATCTCGAGGACACCAACTAGACAAGTAGTCTACACCTGCCTCCTAGGTAGCTGGCTTGCTTCCTTAAACTAACTGTTATGGATTTCATTGACTAATGAAGCCATGTTTTGGTTTGACCACCACTAACTCTTTTCCAACCCAACTCTGAGTCAGCTAAAATTGCGCGTTGTCCAGGAAGGCGATGGCTAGACAGACAGACAGGCAGGCAGGCCTGCGTAACACTGTTGTTTTTGCTTTATTCACAATCTGAATATATATATATATATATATATATATATATATATATATATATATATATATATATATTCTTTAATTTAAAAAGTAGTCAAATGTGTCCAAGGTGAGGAGTGAATGATATGCACACATAGAGAACGATAATTCTCTTGTATATATAAAAGGGAAGTAGGATGATTAAGAATATTATTGCACTCTGAAAGGTTGAGAGAGAGAGAGAGAGAGAGAGAAACAGAAAAAGCGACTAACACAGATTTGATCCACAAAAGCAAAATAATAAATCATGTGAGTGTAGAGTGTATAATGCTTGTTACTATGGTAACTGTTGTCCATTTTAAACTAACCCAGGTGTATAAGGTGGCATGCATTCAATCTAACGAAGATTTTTAGAAAAGATATCGTACAAACGATCGGCTAAATATCCCCTCGAGACGTGGTCTTTACGTAAGTATATTTTTAAATCTGCAAGATAGGCTCTTTTTTATAGTAAAATAAATAACTTATTTGAATGTTATAGCGTGAATTTTAAGATTAATTAATTATCCTCTGATTTGATGGGTGGTAAAAATATCTTCCATGTCTCTGGTATTCGCGTTGAGTGACTTCTGTTGCACGTGTGTTGTGTTGGGTGTAGATTATGCGATGGACAAAGATTTAGTAAGTAATCAACCTCTCCCCATTTCTATCTCTCTCCACCTACCTACTTATATTACCTCTTAGAATTTTCACACTCTCTCTCTCTCTCCCACCATGCTATTGTGTTCTTGTGTGTTAATACATGCAGTGCAATAGTAGTGCTAAGCTTTTTGCTTTCTACATTACTGATCTTCTCCGGGGAATTCATTCTAACTTCAGCTAAATTCTTATTATTTTCGGATAATCTCACTGCTTCTCATCTGTTCGTTAGTTTGACTTATGTATTTTGTAAACTATATTATTTCATCGAATTGGATCAACAACCTACAGGCTCCTTCAACCTACCTACAGAGGTTGTTCTATCTGAGTGAGTGAGTTTGTAGGTTTAAATGTCGCCCCCACCACCCTAATTCCTGCTTTATTAAGAATCCTACTTAGGGAGGGTCGGTCTCAGATGACACCTCCCTCCTTATATGGTAAGACTTCTGTAGATGGCTTGTATTCTCTCTTATTTATGTTAGTTATCATTATTAGTTTCACCATTATTTTTATTTTGCTTTTGACCTTTCCTCATCTTTCTAATGAATTTTAGAGCATAGTTAGTCATTTAACACCAACGCTTTCATCATTTAGGTCGTTTTTTGTACTACATAGTGTTGCTATTGCCTCATTTGTTAGACGCTCAGCTAACTAAGCTTGCCTTCACAGACAGATAACGAACGGATGAGATGAGATGACTTAAAGTCTAAATATCTATTAGCAGAATGCGTTGGTTTTTTTTTACAAACTCCAGTGTGCAGTTTACTTTCTTCTGTTCGTTTGATTTTACAATCTAACACATCATGGCTAATTCTCTTTGTTCATCTTGTGATCCAAATGTAAATTTTATTCCCTTTACTAGTGAGTCTATGTGTGTGGGGAGAAGCTAGAGACATGTTCTGTTTTC